CAGGGCGGGAGGCTGACCTCGCGGGCGGGTGCGGGAAGGAGACTGCCTGAGCCCGAGTCGCGGCCAGGCGGGGACACTGATGGACCACGCCGGTGTCCCTTTGAGGTCCTGACGTGGACACACTTCGGGTTTCCCGACTCAAGGCTCCTCCGGGGATGGGCCGGCTGGTGGAAGCGAGTGAGGGAGGCCAAGGGTCTTGGGCTTCTGTTTCCCGCCGCTGGCCAGGGGCCCCGCTGCAGAGCGGAGCTGGCATTTCCAGACGGGGCTCGAGCCGCCCCTCCCCCGGGACCCTCCCTGGGGACGAGCTGATCGCCGTGGACCGTTGGGGCCGCTCATCCAGGGCAAAAAGGTGGAAAATCCTATTTTCAAGAGAAGATGACTTTTAACAGTTTTGAAGGATCTAAACCTTGTGTACCTACAGACATCAATAAGGATGAGGAATTTGTAGAAGAGTTCGATAGATTAAAAACGTTTGCTAACTTTCCGCGACGTGGCCCTGTTTCAGCATCAGCGCTGGCAGGAGCGGGTTTTCTCTATACTGGTGAAGGCGACACTGTGCGGTGCTTTAGTTGTCATGCCACAGTCGACAGGTGGCAGTATGGAGACTCAGCACTTGGAAGACACAGGAAAGTATCCCCAAACTGTAGATTTATCCACAGCTTTTATTTTGAAAATAGTGCCACACAACCTACAAATCCTGATGTCCAAAATGGTCAGAACAAAGTTGAAAACTATCTGGGAAACAGAAGTCGTTTTGCTTTCGACAGGCCATCTGGGATTCATGGAGACTATCTTTTGAGAACTGGACAGGTTGTAGATACAGCAGACACCATATACCCGAGGAATCCTGCCATGTGCAGTGGAGCAGCTAGACTGACATCGTTTCAGAACTGGCCAGACGATGCCCACCTAACCCCGAGGGAGTTAGCTAGTGCTGGGCTCTCCTACACAGGTACTGATGATCCAGTGCAGTGCTTTTGTTGCGATGGAAAACTGAAAAACTGGGAAGCCTGTGATCGTGTCTGGTCAGAACACAGGCAACACTTTCCTAATTGCTCCTTTGTTTTGGGCCAGAACATAAATATTCGAAGTGAATTTGATATGGTGAGTTCTGATAGAAATTTCCCGAATTCAACAAATCTTCCAAGAAATCCAGCCATGGCAGATTATGAAGCACGGATCGTTACTTTTGGGACATGGAAGTACTCAGTTAACAAGGAGCAGCTTGCAAAAGCTGGATTTTATGCTTTAAGTGAAGGGGATAAAGTCAAGTGCTTTCACTGTGGAGGAGGGCTAACTGATTGGAAGCCCAGAGAAGACCCCTGGGAACAACATGCTAAGTGGTATCCAGGGTGTAAATATCTGTTAGAAGAGAAGGGACAAGAATATGTAAACAATATTCATTTAACC